TTCTACACCCAGAGGAAAGCAGCCAGGCAGAAAGTTATTCCCACCCATCCCTCTCCAAATGGCAATAAATGTTAAATACATAAGTGAAAATGGCTATCAGATGATGCCCCAAACAAATATGATCAGCCAGGGGGAATGGGAAAGTTTTTAATTATTAGATATTTGAACAGCTCGCCCGATTTGTGAAGCATTTATAGTATCTGTATTTTCTTTTTTAAAACCTCCTTTTGGGCAGTCTGTGGGAGACAGAGCCACACTGGCAATCCCACCTCCTTCTCCACCCTGAACATGCTCTAGCAGCCTGAGCCTAGGGCAAGAGGGTATGTGGTATGGAAAGGGCTTTGACAAGCATTAAACTGATGCCTCCTACATAATATTCCTCAAGGTGTTCCTGTGCCTGTCGGTCCCAGCCTCCTCAGGAATTTTTTTGGCACAAAGAAATACCTATTGTGGACTTATTTCCATTTTTTTCCAATAAAGAACTGTACTCTAGATTAAAAGGCTATTTATGGACCTCTGTTTTTTATGGGACAGGAAGCTAAAATACCGGACCATCCAGTTCATTATCAGCCACGTGGCAATGCCAGGCTGGGCAAGACCTTGAGTGCTGGTCCCCGCATCTAAACCCAAGGAAGGGAAAGGACGCATACACCAGTGTGCAGTAACTTGGCCCACTGCCGCGATGGGATGGTGGGGATGGTGCCCTCAGCTCCGCAGACCTTGTAACCCCTTAGCTTTACAACATTTACAAGGAATTTGGAGCTGAAGTGACCACAGTGTGGAGTTCAAGGCCTCGGGGTGGGGGGTCACCTGAACGGAAAGAAGGAAGCTTGCTCACACCCGCTCCTTGCCCAGACCTGAGCTGGTGTCTTGCTAAGTGGGTGTGGAGAGGTTTGATGGGGGATCCTACAGTAGGCCGGAGGATGGGAGGATTAGTCCCAACTGGCTGTGCCTCAGGTAAGAAGCTATATCTAGCCTTGCTGGCTCAGATAGGTGTCAACAAGGACTGTGGAGCAGGTGCCAGCTAGACCTGGGCCCCGGGAGGCTTGGGCTAGTACGCTGCCTCCTACGTCCTGAGCTTGCATCCTGTTTTCCTAACAGGCACAGCCGATCGGGCCAGCCACCCAGTGTTCAGAGCCTCCCTTCCAGGCCTCTTTCTCAATCTGGCTTCCAGGCAGAGCTATTCAGAGGCTTCCAGGCCCACTGCCAAGAGTGCTTCTTTCTCATGACTTTTGTTTTTAAAAGTCCTCCCAATAGCCCCTGCCCAACAGTCCACTCGAACAGCTTAGACGGGTGGTCATTTACACAGTGCTCCTCCATTCTTTCCAGCGCAGGTGAGAGAATACCTGTCCACATGGTGCCAGCAGGAGGAGCAGAGGCCGGAGTATGAGCCACAATCACCAGCTGGGTGGGCCTAGGCAACTGCCTTCCCTCACTGGCCCTCAGCTCCCTGGGCCACTGCACCTCCACATATGAGCTTTCAAGATGGCAGGGACTGAATGTCCCTCCTGAAACTAAAGCTGGACACTTGTGCGGGAAGGGATCAGATTCCAAGTCAGCTGCCCTGCGTGCTCTTTCCTCTTCTTGTTTTCCTGGTTCCAGGAGCCAAGAAGCTGGTGGGGAAACTAGTGAGTATGCAAATTCCTACACTGTTGGGAAATGATCTGGGGAAAGGACAGAGGACAGCCTCCTGCCAGCCTTTTCTCACACCCCCACAGCCCTCCCCACCTCGCCCTACAGCGCAGGGCCTGAGCCTGATTTTTCTTGCAAGTTCTGTCTTGCAAGGGTTAACTGCCCCCCCCACACACACACCTTGGGGCACAGAAGCCAGGATGACTTTTGTCACTAAGATAGGAAACTCCAGCCTACCTGGCTGAGACCAAATCAGCACAAGAGGGGCTGACATTCCCCGTCTCTGGGTCTCCCTGCCCAGTCCATCTCTATCCCACTCAGACTAGGGCAATCTGGCAATCCCTGAGGATCTGGGGACCAACAGCTTTGCAGCTTTGAAGAACAGCCCTCCCGAGGTTTTCCCAGTGCTGCTAACAACACAAACATTACTAGCTTCCTGCAGGCTGGGAGGGTGGGTAGTGGCTGGGAAGAGGCCAACACTCCTTGACACAGCTACCATACTTCCTCCCTCTTCCCACTGGTCGACCCTTGGCCTGGCCTCTTCTGGCCTCTCCCCCTGGGCTGAAGGTAAAGCCTGCACAGAGGGCAAGGCCTCTGCCCCCAGGGAGCTGCTGGTTAGGCCTCGAACACAGAAAACAGAAGTTGGGTGAGGGGTGTGGAATAATCAGCCTGAGCCCAGGCCCAAAGGGAGGCAGCCAAGGCCTTCTCAAACTCTGGCTCACTCTTTTTCCCTATGCTTGCCAGTGTAGGTGGGAAAGAGGTGTAAGAACCTGTTCCTCGGACCTCCTAGCGCACGGGAAGGGTGTGGGAGATGTGGCTGACAGATGCAGGAAGTGAGGCCCTGCAATTAAGGAAACCCAAGGCTTCCTAGACAGTGGCATGTAAATCCTTCCAGCTAGTTCCTGGAGGGGGAGGAGAGCCAGGCTGTCACCTCTTGAGGCCCCTCTCAGGCAGCTGCTGCTTAAAGTGCTCACCAGTTAAGAAATGGCAGTGAGTATTAGGTGGGAGGAAAGGCCAGGCACCTCATCCCCCTAAACTGACCCTTTGCTGGCGGGTCAGCAAACGGAACTGTCCAAATGCCTGGATTCCAGCTGCTCATCTGAGGCTAAGGACCACACAGTGCCCTGCCACCTGCTGGCTCCTCCTGGGACTACTGCCCAAGGAGTAGGGGTTTACCTAGCAAGGTGATCACTAGCACTGGTCTGAAGTAATGAGTCTTGGAGACAAGGATCTAGGTGAATGATGTGGAACTTAAAGTGCTAAGGCAAAAGTAAGGAATTCTTTTTATTTTTCCCCTTCTACTTTTAAGTGATTTCTCTTGTGTTTGTGTGTGTGTGTGTATGTGTGTGTTACTGATCACTGAACTCAGGGCCTTCACACTAAGCTATATTCCCAGCACTTTCATTTTTTAAGAGAGCATCTCACTAAATCCCTAAGTTGCCCAAGCTGGGCTGGAATCTGCAATATTCCTGCTTCTGCTTCCCAGTGCTGGGATTGTAGGAATGCATCACATCTGACCAGCAAAGTAGGGATTTCTTAATGGCATTTGCAGCTCTCCCTAGATAAAGGCCACTATCATGCTCTTGATAAAGTCCAGCACTCCAGATAATTCCAAGTGTTCCAGGTGACAAACTACTCAAGGAAATCCTCAGGTTGGGGGATGTGCAGCCTATTGGCAGAGCACCTGGCCAGCACATGCACGGCCCTGGCTTTCTCTAGTATGGAAGGAAGGAAGGAAGGAAGGAAGGAAGGAAGGAAGGAAGGAAGGAAGGAAGGAAGGAAGCAAGCAAGCAAGCAAAGGAGGGAAGGGAGGGAGGAAGAGAGAGAAAGAGAGAGACAGACAAGACACAGACACAGACAAAATCCTGTGATCTGGGGAATGAGAAAAAGGAAGGAAAACACAATCATCACACTTGCTATGCTCACAAGGAGATGCCCTGTTACTGTGGCAGGGTGTGGGGAAACAGAGTCCAGTCCCCATGAGGAGTGTTGGCACTGGAGGGAAAGGTGTGCTCCAGGTCACCTAAAATGTACTACATGTCCTTTGCCTCAGCAACCCTTCTGCTATGCTTAACCATATGAGCGCACATGTGCAAGACGAAATGTGTCAGGCTATTCACCACAAGGCTGTCTCAGACAGTGAGAGACGGGAAACAACACTAATGCCTTCAACAGAGCATTGGTTAGGTAAATTTTGGTGCACGAGTGCCATGGAATATTAAGGAGCCAGCAAAAACATGGTAACTGCATTTGGGATGTGTTCTAGGCTAGACTGCTAGATGGAAAAAGCAAGGGTAGACGAGGACCCAGTGTGCTACCATCTCTGTAAACAGAGACCTGCATGTGTGTCTACTGCCCATCCATGTACATAGCTCCCCTGCAAGGACACACCAACACCTGTCTCTGGGAAGGGGAACTGGTGACAACCAACAGGAGTACTTGCTTATCACTGATTTGAATATATGCTATTTGCATGTTGCTGTGGTCTGAATGTCTGTATTCCCCCAAAACTCTGTTAATCTTCTAACTCCAAGGTGACAGGGTTAGGAGGGGAGGTCACTGAACATAATTCAATCACAAGAGCCACCTTAGAGTCCCATGACTGGGATTAGTGTCTTGAGAGGCCTAAGGGAGAACCAGCTCCCTCCACTGACTCAGAAATTGGGCCTTCAACACACACTGACTCTGCTCATGCCTTGCTCTTAAATCTCCTTGTCTGCAGAACTGTTGGAAATGTTTTTCATAAGATCACTAGTTTATGCTTTTTTTACAGTAACTTCAATAGACCAAGACTACTGATACACAGATAAATACATTAAAATTAATAAATTATTGTGAAAATGAATTATTGTGAATTCCTAATTAAAGGAATTCCTAATTAAGGATTCCTAATTAAAATTAATGAATTATTATGAAGGTAGGAATGTCAGGCTGGGGAGGGCTGTATTAGCGGGGGTCTCTAAAGTTTATTCTTTTGTTTGCAGTACTCGACATTGAACCCAGGGTCTTCCATGTCTTAGAAAATGTATCTTATTACTTAGATGTATATAGTCAGCCTTTAAAACATTTTTTTAAATTCCATCATGGCTACAATCCTAGTACTTGGCAGGCTGAAGCAGGAGGACTGCCACAAACTCAAGGCCAACCTGGACTACAGTGACTTTAAGGCCTGCCTGAACTACAGAGTGAGACTCTGTCCACCCCCCAAAATTTATTTCAGACAGGGCTGCACTAAGTTGCCCAAGCTGGTCTTGGAGATACTTTGGCCTCCACCTCCAAGTGGCTAAGATTACAGGTGTGTACCACCATGCCCAGTTCAAAGTTTACTCTGGCACACAAACAGTAAAAATTTGGAATATACACCCTGCTAACACATACAAGTTTATTTTTAAACCATGACAACTGCCATTTTTTTATAGATCAAAACAATTTGAATATTAGCAATCTCTTGTGGTTCAACTTAATATTCATAAATAATCTACATGGACTAATAAACTAACATTCATGTATATTACACAAGCACATTCGAAGTGAAGAGATACAAAGGGCTGAGCCCAAAAGTGAACACACATCAAAGGCTGAGTCCATTCTTCCCATACCCAGTCACCCTACACCCTCCCGTGAACACTCTGCCCTATGTAAGGACCAGCATCCACTCTGATACATCCCTGTCGGGTGACAGTTTCTCTCTACCAGGCAGTTTTTTAAAGTGGAAACTGTTTTGAAGCATGAAGTCCGCCACTTAGAAGGTTGAGTACTCTTTCAGATTGACCCAGGAAGCAAAATTCCAACCCCTCCTTCCTGCACCTTAACGTCTGTCACGGTTCTGGCACTCAACAGGACACCTCCTTGGAGAAATAAATGGACTTTCTCCTCCCTGCACAATTTAGTCTGGGCTTCAGATGTGAACATTTTTTGTTTTTTATTTGCATGAGAGCCCGAACCCAGGGCCTCAACACCCCTCAAGCAAGTGGTCTACACGGAGTTGCATTCCACCACCACCACCATCCATCTTTTCTTTAAACTTTTAAAACAGGGCTCACTAAGTTGCTCAGCCTGGCCTTGAACCTGTAATTCTCCTGCCCCTGGCTCTTGAAGAGCTGAGCTGACCATCATCATACCCAGCTTCAGGTTTGAATTTTTAAGTACAACAACGCCTCAAGAATTTGGAATGAGAATGAGGGACAGAAAAGTTAGCATAAATGCAAAACCCAAGAGTCCCAAAATACCACATATGGCTGGTGCATGATTAGAATCCCAGCCCTAGGGAGCCCGAGGCAGGAGGACTGCCACAAGTTCAAGGCCAGCCTTGGCTAGAGTCAAGGCCAGCCTAAATTACAGCGTGAGACCCTGTCTCAAAAAACAAAACAAAAACAAAAACAAAAACAAAAAACCCTGAACGGTGACCACTTTCAAGAACAGGCTACTTAGCACTCATTTCAATTCTCTTATTAGTAAAGGCAGCCATGGCAAGATGACTCTTTACAGAACAGAGTACTTCACAGTACCTAATACCCAAAAGCTGAGGCCTGGAGATGGAAATGATTCTGATGCCTGCTTCCTACGCTTTCAAAATAAGGATTTCTTCTAAACAAACAACATAAACCCAATTATGGGAAATGTTTAACTTATGTAATAACTCATGACTCCTCACATTACTTCCAAGCCTAAGACAGTGAGATGCCTCTCCAGATGGGGGCAGCAGCTCAGAAGCGCTTGCTCTCCCAGCCCACCCTGCCCTCCCCCAGCTCAAGCTTCCCTGCAGTCCCTCCATGCGGCTCCAGTGACCCATCTTTGACTCTGTGGGTTGTTCCTGCTCTCCACCTTCTACTTGTGGCGGTCGGATGATGCTTTGAACATTCAGAGTCTAAAAAGAATGAACAGCCTCAGTCTGTGGAAGAATCCACCCGAGACCTCACGGAGCTTTTTACTGACACCATCTTCCCGGTAACAAGAATGTTACTAGAAAGGGCCTGGGCTTTTTCTTTTTTTCTTTCTTTCTTTCTAATATCCCATAACTATCAAAAGAAGCAAAGGACAACCTAGTCCCAAGAGTGGAGAAGGACAGCAAACATCCCTAAATGTCCTCAGTCTTCCAGGTCTTTGTCCTTCTGGACTGGAAGAGAAGAGGGCCATGTCCCAGGAGGCAGTCTCTTCATAGGACTCTAGTTCTTTAAACCAATTCATTTTCTATCCTTGTAAAACGCAGCCAAAGTACTGTTCCAAACACAAGTAATCCAGTGATGAAAGAACCAGAAGCAAGCACCTTCTCAGGAGTCCTGATGGCAAGTCCAGCTCAGGAACTGCTGCAGGGCAAGACAGGAGGACACAGGTGGCCCAGAAGACTAACTCCATCAACAGTGTCCTCTGACGATGTAACCCTGCCCTCCTCCTTTTCTTCCCATTTTCTTCCTTTCTTTGAGACAAGAGTCTCACCAAGGTACCTGGGCTGGACTGCCTTTGGACTAGGTATTCTCCTGTTTCTATTTCCTAAGTGCTGGGAATGACAGATCTGTGCACTACAACTGGTTAGCACCTTTTAAAATCAATACTTTGATCAAGGACATCACCTCAACCTAATCTTAAAGTCAAGCAAACTTAACTTGATAACCAAAGTTCAGTGTCACAAGCATGGTACATGGCAGGTAAGGTCCCTTTTTCTAAAGGACCCTAATGTAGGGGAACTAAGCCATCTCTCACAGCTTGAATACTACCAGTCAGGTTCACACAGCTTTGTAATCCCAGGATTCTGAGAGGCTGAGGCAGGAGGATTGCAAATTCAAGCGCAATCTCAGCAATTCAGCAACCTTTTTAGTGAGACTCTGTCTCAAAACTTAAAAAGGGCTGGGATGTACTGAAGAAAAAAAAAAAGTAAAAGGGTTTGACTACCTCCAGGATCCCTAGCAACTTACACAACATAGGAAAACGGCAACATCCCCTCATCAGTGGTTAAATTTTACTGGGAAAATAAGTATAAGCTAAGCAGCCTGTTTCTAACCATGATTTTACACATGGTAGATACGCTTTTGAGTAATTCACTTTTAGGGGCTGAGCCTACAGGTAAGCGGTACAGTGTCCATCTCACGTGGATGAAGGCCTGGGACTGATATTGAGCACTGCAATAATAAATAGAATACCTAAACTGTTTTGTTTTTGGAGACAGGGACTCACTATGTAGTCGAGGCTGGCCTTGAACCTGCCACATAGCCCCTGCTGGTCTTAAATTCCTGCCTCAGCCTTCTGAACGTCGGGACTGTAGGCATGTGCCACTATACCTGTAAACACACCTTTTAAAGAGCAGTACAAACATCGCTAGCAAATGCCAAACTATGAGGACCAGAGGTATTTTAATGTCTGTTGTGTGCTTTCCTGACACCCTACTCCTGCCTCGCAGAAAAGGGGAAAAACTAACATACGATATAGAAAGCTCCTGGGATTGGTTTGTTTACTTTTTTTCAAAGAAACACTCTAAACAGAAGAAATTATTTCCTTAAAAACCCTGACATTAGAGTTCTGCTACCAAAGCCAAAGCCATCTAAGACTATCGCACGGTTTAAAAGAAATAGTAAGTTTCCCACCTCACCCCAACAACAGTAAAAACTGCAGCCCATCTGACAAGGTGGACTTTTTCTGCTAATAGAATCCACTCCTATCCAACTCCATGAATATCATCACCATGACACCCTCCTCATAAAGTTACTGGAGTAATTTAAGGACCAAGGCTAAACAGACTGAAAGGAAAGACAAGACCCCAAAACTTAACCCTAACACTAACTCACAGGGCAGGATTTAAATCAAATCAGTCTCAACTTTGCTCCTTATCAGTGTCTTGGGCGGATGCAGCTCAGCGGCACAGTGCCTAGCTGGCAAGCGTGAGGTTGTGAGTTCAACAATCCCCAATGCCAAATAAACAAACACACAAACAATGTATCAGCAGCCTATTGGGGACTCTTCGGAAGGAAATCCCAATAAGTAGACTGTATCCTAGAATCTCTAGGGGTGGCGCCCAGACAGCAGCACTTTTAGGCTTCCCAAGTACATGATCATGGCACTAGACAGGTAACAAGCATTAGCATATTCCTCAGCCACAGACCCCACAAGGAAGATGTTCTTCTGGGCAACACTGGCTCTCACACCATCTTTCACTTCATTCAAGAACATTTTTAACTGGCCATGGTGGCAGGTGCATGTGTAATCCCAGCACTCATGACACTGAAGCAGGAAGATCCCTGTGAGTTTGAGGCCAACCTGAATTGCAGAGTAAAACTGTCTCAAAAAAGACCCCCCACCCCCAAAAAATCGAAGGAGCTAAGGATATAGCTCAGTGGCACAAGTGCCTTTCTGGCAAGTACAAGGTCATGAGTTTGATCCCTGGAACAACAACAACAACAACAACAAAAAAAGTAAGAAAAAGAAAATTTTCTGTTACCAGCTATTTTTCTTTTTTGAGATGGGGTTTATGCAGTTCAGGCTGACCTTAAGTTCACTTTGTAGCCCAGGCTGGTCTCGAACTCACAACGATCCTCCTACCTCAGCCTCCTGAGTGCTGGGATTACAGGTGTGAGCCACCATGCCCTGCTTCTGTTATCAGTTTTAAAAAAATCCAACAGACAAAAAAAAAAAAAAAAAAAAAAACCAGGGTCTTGCTATGATTCAGGCAGGCCTCCATCTCAGTGATCCTCCTGCCTCAGCCCTCCCTGTGCTGGCATTATAGGACTGTGCCACCACACCTGGCTTGGTATAATTTTTAGTCTTTTCACCACCCTGATGATTTTTGGAGCATTATTTAATCAGGTGAATACCAGCAAAAAGATAAGATGGAAAAGGAAGATAACTTCCCTAAGCCATGATACAAATAAGTGGAAAAAAACAATCTCAGGTTTAAAAATAAAGTATGAAAAGTCAAGACCTATGAATTTTATTTATATAAAAGAATTAAAATATCTTTTTTAAAAGGACTGATTAAACTTATAGTTTTCAGCTCCTCCTGTTACTTGAACATGAAACTGCTTCCAATTCAAGAGAGATTTAAGATAAGTAATTATTAAATACACATTCTTTACCTTCCCCTTGCAAAAAACCAGAGCCCAGTTTCCCATTTTACTTATAGTAAACCACATTCTTTTCAGTTAAGAATATCAGCAAGTGCATGAAACAGATCATCAGATATGTCAGCAGGAAGGTATGAGCTGTACAAAGGCATTACAGAAAGGCCCAGAAAGGAAGATGGTAAAAATAACAATAGGAAAATAATAAATTACAAAATAAAAGAAGAGAAATACCAGATATTTACAGCCTACATGAGAAATGTGACTTGTGGTCTACATTCAGCATCATATAAAACCAGAGAACAGGTTTCAACAGGGAACACAGATGTCGCTGGGACCAGCCAGGTTAGGGGAGACATTCACTCTACGGGAGAAAGGCACAGAGAGCACTGTGCTGGGATTACAACCAAGTCTTGCCTCCCTGCAGTTCTGTTTCTAAAATGACACAAAGCAAACGATGCAATGTCTTACAGAAACAACTTGTCACCACATTTAGAGTAAACTATTCAGTCACAGGCACTGGGTCGGGGAGAGCAGAGGTGGGAGGCCACACGCTCAGATGAGGGATGTTTATCTGTGTGAGGTCGGAGAAGGGAAGCAGGGCTCTACAGCCTGGACGCTTCTGTACTAATGAGTCTTCTAATAGTCCTGAAGAGAAAGAAACAAAAGTCCCAACTTACTCTCTGCAGAACACTGGTTTGACCCTAAGGAAAAAGCAAACCTACTAAGCAGCTGTCCTAAGGAATTGTTCTGTAGCTAAAGATTGTATTTCATCAACTGAAACATCGATTCCGCTTAGTAGAACACATAAACTCACCAGCCAGGAAAAAAATGACAGAGATAGCTAGTAGCAACTATTTACTATTCACTCAAAGGGATTTTGTATTTCTTGCTGGGCATGGTGGTGCATGCTTGTCATACCAACGTTCTGAAAGGCTGAAGCAGAGGGATCACAAGTAAAAAGGGCGAGAGATACAGCTCAGGTCAAAAGCCTGGGTTCAATCCCCAGTACCAAGAAACAAAAACAACCCAGAAAGTGTGAACTCTCTCCAAAATAAAAAGTAAATATCATCTAAAAGCTAAAGGGTAGACAGATGCACATACCAGACTTCAAAAGTGTGACCTAGATTAGGAACACTAAAACTCTGAGGATGAGACAATTTTAATTATCTATAAAACTATCAGCCTCTCTCAAGTGGTCTGACTGATACTTACAGATCGTGGTTTTTTGTTTAACTTCAGATCAATCCTGTGATAGGAAAGATAAAAGACATTTGCATTTTAATTTACAGAAAAAGGGTTCAACAATTAGCTACTGCATAGGGGACAAGCTATAACAAAAGCTACCTGGTTAAGTAAAATTTGTATTATCCATTAGACTATGTCTTATTTGTTTACCCAGGTATTACTAAGCAAACATTAAAAACTATGAGCTTATACTTTTGCCTTGAGGCAAATTTGGAAGACTCAAAAAAATATATAGCAGTCACAAAAGTCATATCATTTTTTAAGATGTATTCCAAAGCTACTTGGTAAAGAGACTGGATTAAGAGGGCATGCTCTATGTTAACATGTTAGCTCTGAAACATCGCTGGAAATTACTGAGACACATAGTGATTAAGAGAGGGAAAGAGACTAGGAATTTGTATTTCTGGACATGAAATACAAAAGAAATTAAAGGAATTTCAACTTTTAAATGTTTTCAAAGCAAAATGTCAAAATTTTAAAATATTAACTTCTTTATGAAGCAAAGCCAGAAAAGCAATTTAAAAATGAATTATAGGTTATCTATTTAAAAAGAAATTAAAGTGCATAAAAGTAAAGTTTATTTAATTTTGCTTAAGTTATTAAATAAAATGTTACCTCCATCACGTTTTTCTGTTTTTAAAAAAAACTGCCCAGCCTAACCTAATATATATACCTACAATTAAACAGATAAACTATGGGTTAGAAAGGTCTCAAAAAGGCATACTGGTGTCTACACACTAAACAACACAGCACAAATACTAATTCAAATCAAACTTACTCAAAGTCATAATCAAACATGCCAGACGGGCTGAGGGGCAGCATTTGAAAGGAAGAAAGCAATAGAAATTAATACACTAATTAAACAAATTAGTCGATTAGCCACCCTAGCAAGATTTATAGAAATAAAATCAGTTTTAAGAATTTTAAGCCAGTTTCAAACAACAAAGCACCAAAGATTCTGTGGTCAGGTGATTCCCTTCCCTCAATGGACTCCATAGGAAAAGAACAGACTATGTAAGGAAAAGTGATTTCATTAGAAAACTATAGACAACCTTTTATTAGCTTCCAGATTCAGAGTTAGAATTTTTAAACAGTTGTATTGAAAAGTGTAAATAGGGCATTAGAAGAAACAAAGAAAAGCTTAGTCTGATAATGAAAAGTACTTATAACAACATATTATACTTTCACTGTAACGAATGACAACATCCCACACTTGAGAAAAGGAAAACATTTGGCAATTTACAGGCGTTCTACATTCTAAAGTGTCCAGGAACACGGTACTCTTTGCTAAGGCATCCATCCTAGAAGCCAAGGTTGAATGAGTAAACTTCAGGGTTCAGCAGTGGAGTCTTGTTCCAAAATCCAAAGAGAAGTGTTACTCGGTTCCCTGAAGTGGTGATGCCAGGCAGTTAAACTGTCTACAGCAGGACAGCAACTGAGAAATACCCAAACCTGTGCAGCACGGTTAACAGAAAGGAAAGCCGACACCCACACTCGAGGATCTGGAAGGGAGTGACACGGAGGAGCACACCGTTTGGTGCTATCCCTGCTGACAGATTACGGTCTGGGCAGAGCTCCAAAGCAAACACTTAACACCGGGCTTGACCCCAGCGCCTCGGCTGGCTCTGGGGCCTTTCAGACTGCAGACTAAAGCACTGCACAAAAGGCTGCCTTTGCCTCCTAGACACTGTACGTAGGGGCGAAGTTGGAAGAAGGTTTAACTTCAGTATCCTCGGGCGACAGTTTATTCTCAGCCTGTGTTCACAAGTTACAAAAGACTAACAGCTGAAGGTATGTTCACTGGTCAAGTATGTGCTTAGGTTAGCATGTACCAAATTCAAGGGCCAAATTCAAGCCCCAGCAACAGGAAAAAATAATGTAGTGCATTCCTGTACTCTCAGCCCTTTGGAGGCTGAGGCAGGAGGACTGCTGCCAGCCCGGGTTATATAGTGAATTCAAAGTCAATTTCAACTATATAGACAAACCCTGCCTCAAAAAACAAAACAAAGGCCTGGGGATTCAGCTCAGCGGCATAAGTGCCTGCTGCCAAGTGTGAGGTCATAAGTTTGATCCCCAGTACCAAAAATAAGTAAATAAATAAATAAAAATATACTTAATCAAAACTTGGGTTTGAGCCAGGCATGACGGCATACTTGTAATCCCAGTATTCTAGGAGGTTAAGGGGGAGGGGATCCTAAATTCAAGCCCAGCCTAAGCAACTTAGCAAGACCATGTCTCAATATAAAAAATAAAAAAGAAGTAGGGAGATAGTTCACTGCAAAACTCTGGGCTTGATCTCCTATACTACAAGTAAACATGGGTTTTATATAACAATAAAAGCCTGTAAGCAGCAGTGAGTTATTTTAATTTTTTCTTTAAAAATAATGGAACCCACAGAGCATGGTGGCACACACCTATAATCCCAGCACTCAGGAGGCTGAGGTAGGAGGATTGCCAGAGTATGAGGCCAGCCTGGGCTACAAAGTGAGTTCAAGACTAGTATGCACTGCATAGCAAAATCTTGCCTCAAAACGACAAAAAAAAAAAAAAAAAAAAAAAAGACACTGGACTTATTTTTCAGATGTCATATAAAATATAAGAATTCAGAACACAGTGATCATTTATGAATATTAAAAATTTTTTAATAAATTTCATTATTCCAGAAGAGAGCAAATTCCAAAGTCATTTTCTTTTCTGAAAGTACTATATTTATTTTACCACTAAACAGTGCCTGGCAACATAAGTACTCAAATATTTGCTAAAACAGTGCACTACTGACTCTGATTATAGCAGCTAAGGGCACAAGGGAGGAGAAACAAGTACTGTACTGGGTGCCATTTACCAGTACGCACAGGCGACACACTCCACCCCACAGCCCAATCTGCCAGCCCCACGAATACATCCATGGGCATGAGGGGTTTAGAGCAGATTCAATTCCTGACTAAAGATGGCCAGTGAGGTTCCACTCAGGCATCCTGAAAGAGAAAGCAAATCCATGCCGCTCTCCTCCCTTGGGGTGGAGGCCAGTGAGATACTGAATCAGAGGAAAGATGAAGAGGAAATAAGATATATGACCTGCTTTCTGCATAGAAAACACCATTTATGAAAGCATTAACACCAAAGGTCTTTATAAATACTAATGTTTTTATGGAAGCAGTGCATATGTTCCTAGGCCAGCAGAGGAAAGAATAAGAAAGTGGTTTTTCTTCTACGAAATTTATTAGAAACCTGCAAGAAAAAAAGTTAAATTTAATGTATTCTTTTGTCAATCAGTTGATCACATCATTAGCAAAAACGAGGTATTATCTGAAGTAAACAGTTACCTAGCCAGTACAGTAATGCTGATCAGTAATAAAAAAAGTTCTAGACACTTCCAAGGAATTTTCTCCTTACTCTAGACACTCTGAAATATGAAAACAGCTATTAAAACAACACTGGCAATACAGAACATAACAGTTAATCATTCTGACAATTTTTAAAGTATTTTTTTTCACAGGTTGGGCAGACAGCTCAACAGCAGAGTGCTTGCCTAGCATACAGGAACCTGGGGTTGATCCCCAGCACTCAACACAAAGTTTTAAAATTAAATATTCTTTCAGAGTACAGTTCTCTGCTATTAGTGGTAAGCTAGCACTAACTCCAACATGGTGGCCAAGTAACCTAGGACCTTATCCCCACCATCACCAAAAAGAGAATGAAAAGGAATTTTTATTATTTCTTACTACAGTTTTGAGATTAACATGGTGACTTTTGATGTGCAGAAAAATGTTAAAGCAGTAGTTCTTTGTCACTGTTTGGAAGAAATATTATTTCTGCAGTTAAAAAGAAAAAAACATCATTACCATCCACAAGAAAAGCTCTTAGAATTAATTAATAGCAAACCAGTAACATTTAATTCTATTATTATCCCCATTCCAAATTCATAAAAAGTTTTAATACCCTGGTACATGAAAGAATCTCCTACAGGTTTCTTTTATTTTTTGTTTTTATTTGTTTAGGTTCTGTTTTGGGGGGACGGGGCCTCACTGTGTACCTCAGGCTAGCCTTGAACTCACTACGTAGCCCAGGCTAGCACTGAACTCACGGGGATCCTCTTGCCTCAGCCTTCTGAGTGCTGTGATTACAGATGTGTGCCACCATGCTTGGTACTTTTATTTATCATGAGACAGGGCCTCACTATGTAATTCAGGCTGGCTGCAACTCACTATGTAATAACCCAGGCTGACCTCAAACTTTCGGTGATCCTCCCACTTCAGCCTCAAGCACTGGGATTATAGGCATTTGCCAGCATGCCTGGCTTGACAGGTTGCTTTTTTTTCTTTCTTCTTTTTTTTTTTGATCTTTTTGAGACACAGTCTCAATACGCAGTTCAGGCTTATCTTCGAGCTCACTTTGTAGCCCAGGCTGGTCTCGAACTCAGAATGATCCTCCTGCCTCAACCTCTGAGTACTGAGATTACAGGTGTGCACCACCATGCCCAGCATCTATAAGTTTCTAAAGCAATAAACTCTGGAAGCAAACGGGAGGACAGGGAACCCAGGCGATCCCTGGCATGCCCCTTTCACGATCTTCTGCATGCAGGCTTCCATGGCAAGCAGGACACCAGTCAGATGAGAAAAATCCATTTCCATGCCTCCTGGGTTTGCAGCCAGGGCAAGATTCCTGACTCTAGAAATTATGCATTTCTCTCTCAGAATGACACCAAACCCCAGGTATAATGAATTCTAAAAGCCACTTTAGGTACACCTGACCTCTTTGTCCACTGACGTCCTTTTTTATCTCATTAGGTACTGCAAAAAACGCGGTGGGCAAATGTTACCTAGGACAGCACTCTCACATTATTATAGCTTTTGTATTGTTTCCCAGTATCTGAAGTCAGCATATTGCAGAGAACTATAAAAACACAAGAATCAGAAGTGATCAAAAAGCTTGTATTTAAAAATTTTTTTAAAGGCACATTAAATCAATTCTCAAAAGAGTAGGCAAGGATCAGGAGTAAGAGCAAGACTATCCCACTTAACCCAATATACACTAATGTCATTTTTCAAATACTATTACACAGATTCCATTTCTACTCCCCCTTTTTCTCTTCTAAAAGGATTCCAAATTCACCGTTAAACAAAGTTCTTGGGCATAGGGTTAGGGTTCTGCACTAGCAACAGTGGGAGGATATGCTGGAGTCCTCCTTTAGGGTTACTCTATTCCCCACCAACTCCTCCCTTAAAACATTAGCTGGTTTCCTTTGGAGCCAAGGAATTTCTGTCCATCCTGGAGCACTTTGATTCTAGGAAGGTCCCTTCACACCAACAGTCATCGGAGCTGTGGGGGTGGGGTCCCTGCCACTGACCTGTGCCGGTTTTTATTCTTTCGCTTTTTATGGCTGCTATGATGACTCCCTGAGGAAGTGGAAGAAGCAGCCTTCTGAGGTTTCACTCCCTGCACAGATCCATCCAGATCCTCAGGGTCCTCCTGGCTGGGCTCATTTTCTTGATTGTGGAAGTCCGGAGAAGTATCACTTTCCGTCCCACTTCCTGGCTCCCCTGGAGGGAATAAAACACAAGTCTCTCAAAGCCTCATAAGCACTCCTTAGCCAACCTGTCCAGCATTAAGGAAGATCTTGTGAGCACACACTCAGTGACAGAGAAGATACACACCAAGCATCAGTTACCGGAGTTCCTGAAAAGCAAGTCACGTGAAACAGTGTGACCAGAGGCTGTCAGTGTGATCCAGGGACAGCTGGGAGATGGTAACGCACAGGACATCCTCCTTGCATAAAGGTTATTTAAACACAGAATACACTAGCAGGATTAGCAACAATGTAAGAGAGGCTGCAAACAGAAGGCAGGTCCCTGAGGGATGAAGGATGAGTGTGGCAGAACTGTGTGCAGCTGGCCCTGCTTCCTTTCCCAAACCATGCGGGAATCCTGTCTTCCTAACAGGAGGAGGTAAACTGCCAAAACAGGAGGGAGCCCACTTCCTGAATTACTTCAAGAAGTCTATGGTTTTTGCTGTTAGCAAATGTATTGTTCTGAGGAATAAACCCAGGGCCTCATACAAGGTAGGCAAGAGCTTTACCACTGAGCTGCGTCGCCAGAATGCATTTAAAAAATCAGGTGTGATGGCACATGCCTGTAATCCCAGCACTGAGGAAGGAAGCTGTTGCAAGTTCAAGTCCAGCCTGGGCTACAATGTGAGCTGAAGACCAGCCTGAACTGCATAGTGAGACCCCATCTCAAAAAGACAAAAAACAGGGCTGGGAATTTAGCTCAGTGGCATAAGTGCCTGCCTGGCAAGTGCCAGGTTGTGAGTTCAATTCCTGGTACCCCCCCTCCACACAAAAAAAGAAAAAGAATGTAACTGGGGCCAGGGATATAGCTCAACGGCACAGCACCTGCCTGGCAAGCACAAGGTCGTGAGTTCAATTCCCAGTACCAAAAAAAAAAATAATAAAGTATTTAAGCTTAGTATCTGCCCTCTAAAACAGGGTCTGCATTCACAGATATTTCACGGAGGATCTCTGGGCATTGCCACTCTAAATAACCTGTAGGAATTTAAAAAGCCAAAAATACTAGTTATTTCTTAGTAGTGTGTAAAAGGATTTTTAAAGAACAAAAGCCCAACTCTTTTTCTGGATTTTTATCAACACTTTAATCAAGAGTCATACTCATGCAGGTCACACTTCAATTCTGATGGAAGATATTTTTATACTTAATTGCAGTAGGAATTCACTGCCAAAACAATAGTCATGGCTTCACAGAACCAATACACAGACTGTTTTTAAGAAAATAAAGACTGGCAATAAAGTTATCCACTTAGTGCCAAATACTGGCTATAATATATAGCTATTAACACTCTTTCATGTTTAGAAATTCTTTCTGTTATTACTCAAGAAAATGTTTTCAGACATGCTAATAAACTTTTTTGGAAATGAGGAAGAACGAACGAATATAACTGCTCAGGGCATGGCGGTGTAGGCCTGCAATCCCGCTACTCGGGAGGCATCGCCATGTCGCCATGCTGTGAGGTCAAGATCAGCCTGGACCAGAGTGAAACCCTGTCTCGAAAGAAAGAAAGGAAGAAGGAAGGAGGGAAGAAAGGAAAGAAGGAGGGAGGGAGGGAAGGAGGAAAGGGAGGAGGGAGGAAGGAAGGAAACCATAAAATTTTATTTTTAACACATTTCATAAAAATCACAGGAGGAAGAACTCTAGAGCTATGAAACTAAAGAGTATCCTGACATTTCTGAAATTCAAGAAAACAGATTCCACATAAAAATTACCAATAGGGCTGGGTGTGGCAGCACACCCATTACCCCAGCACTCTGGAAGGCTGAGGAAGGAATTTAAGCCCAGCTGGGCAACTCAGGGAGACGCTGTCTCAAAACAAAAAAGGGCAAGGGGACCTAGCTCAGCACAAAGGACTAGAGCTCGATTCCTAATAGTGCCACAAACAAAAACAAGAAAGCAACTTAAGATCTTCCAGAGTAAGCGGTGGCAGTGTGGCAGACTGCAGCCCTTCCAGGGGGAGAACCAGCAGTGTCTCCTGAGATCTACGCCATGTTGGAACTTAGGACACTGGCAAGCCAAGCAAGCACTTCCCCTCCCTGGTAAGCGCTGGCAAGTGTGACAGACTGCAGCCCTTCCAGGGGGAAAACCAGCAGTGTCTCCTGAGATCCACACCATGTTGGAACTTAAAGGACGCTGTGAAACCAAACCACCAGCCTGCCTCCCGGCTGGGCAGTACTGAGCCTGCTGATCCGGCCTGGGGTCGGATATCCCACTTCCCCTATCCCTCTTCTCCTCCCCCCACCCCCAGTACTCATTAGCGGGTGGGAACCAGAAATCTGAGAGTCTCCTGGGAGGTTGACCATAGCAAATGGGGGGGGGGGGGGCTTCCTTTTGCCATCTCTTTGAAGACAAATATTTTCATTTGCTGTTTTGCTCTTTTCTGATTGATGGTACTGCTCTATTCAATATTGTTTTGATGTGTTCTATAGTGTTCTATATTTCATCTCATTTTGATATACGTGATTGAAAGAACAGCTATTATAAAGATAACAAAATATACTGTGATACCTATTACTGTTATCCCGGTAACCTGCTGTGAAGTTCTGTACCAATTTCACTGTACAATCTTATTTGGCTTTATTCTGTCATGTTCTGTTGTATACTTTCAAAATAAAATTTAAAAAAAAGAAAGCAACTTAAAACATACTACACAAAGCTACAGTAATCAACAATGTGTGGCAGTGGCACAAGGATACACATAAGGGAACAGAATTAAGAGTCCAGAAGAAGCCCTTTCATTTATGGTCAGTTGGTTTTTGATAAAAGTAATAAAGACAATTCAATGAAGAATCTTTTTTGTTTCCCCCCAATAAATGGTGCCGGACAGCTGGACAGTCACATTAAAAAGCATGTAGTTTGATCCCTACCTCATACCATACATAAAAACTAACTGAAATGGATCACAGACTCAACAAAAGAATTAAAACTGAAACTCTTAGAATCCACTGAAGAAAGCAATAGTTTCTTAGATATGACCACAAGAGTAAATGTGACAAAAGAAAAACATATGTGCCGGCCAGGCGTGGTGGTCCACACCTGTAATCCCAGCACTTGGGAGGCTGCGGCAGGAGGACCACTGTGAGTACAAGGCCAGCCTAGGCTAAATAGTGAGTTCAAAGCCAGCCTGAACTATACTGCGAGTCTATCTCAAACAAACCAAACAAAATGAAGTGAAACAAAAACTGCTGAGCTAAAAACAATACCACTGAGAAAATGAAAAGACGATTCCCAGGGAAACAGTTTCGTGTTACATACAGTATCTGATATGAAAAGGCACTATTACCCCACATATAAAGAATTCTTAGAGGCTGGTCCGATGGCAGTGGGTTATCACAACTTATTACCATTAGTGTCTCTAAAGTTGGTACACCACCCCCCCCCACTGCTAAATTTGACTGGCTTTAAAAAAAAAGAATTCTTAGAATTCTTACAAAGTATACATAGCCAAATTTAGAAATCAGCAAGATGACCCAGGGATATAGCTTAGCGGCAAGGCACCTGCCTGGCAAGCATAAGGTCATGAGCTCCATTTCCAGCACACACACACACACACACACACACACACACACAAGGAAGTCAGTAAGAAGTGTGACAAAAGTAGCACTTGCCTGTAGCCTCGTCATGCAAGAGGCTAGCACAAAATAAGTACTTGAACCCAGAGACTAAAAGCCAGCCTGGGCAGCATATCACAACTCATCTCAAAAAAATAAGCAAAAAGTGAGCAAAGGATTTGTTTTCCCTTTCATCTTCCAAACAAGATATGCAATGACCAACAAGCCATTTGGAAACATCTGTTAGGATAATATCAACCTAAGAATGTTGGGTCTGAAGCAGAACAGGCAGTAATCAACTCTGTTTTATATTCATATACGAATAAGAATGTATTATTTTCTAGTTTAAAAAACTCTAAATGAAATATAAAAAGATGAATCTAAGAGAGAGATGCACATGTAAGACAGCCCTACTCTCAAATACCCAGCCAATCCCACTTTGATGTAGGTTTTCAAAAAAGCAATTTCTAACAAATCGCATCGTGGAAGTACTGGCTGGGGAGAGGAAAGGGTAACAGGGTCTGAGGCCACAAAAGCTTTGGATCACAGGGTGACAAAGCAAAGTAAGGACTAGACATAGGAGAAGCGAGAATAATTATAATGTAGGAGACACAGCCAGGCCTGGTGGAACATGCCTGTACCTCGGGACTCTTAAGAGACTGAGGCAGGAGGACTGAAAAGTTTAAAGTCCAGCCTACGCAACTTAGCTGGACCCTGACTCCAAAACAGGCAGGTCAGACCCCAGCTGTTACTGGGGGCCAGCTGCCAGGGAATACTGAATAAACGAGAGGTCGGTCCCCTCCACACTTCAGAGCAGTGTCAATCCATCAAACCCTAGAATCGACTGTCACTTCTCTGAAAAAGTAACATGTACAGCAACAGCAGATGTCCCAGAGGACCCATGTGAGCATGAAGAACTACAGGAGACAAAGAAAGACTGCAGGAACATTCAGGACAAGTTTGACTGAGGGGATGACTTGAGAGCGGGCTCTAAGGGCTGGACACGCAGCTCAGAGGTGCAGAGCTTGCCTAGCGTGAGTGAGTGTCCTTGGGCTTGAACCCCTGCACCACAAAAACGTTCTGAAGATTTAAAAACTAAAAAAAGTAAATAAAGCTTTGAAAACTGAGAAGTCAAAATAAGAATAACAAATACCACAAGTCAAGGTGCAGAAATGAAAAAACAAGGTATATTTGGGACAAGGGAATCACACACCTCTTATTAAACAGACAGCCTATGAAAAGTAAAATAGAGGGACAGGTTACAAGTCATAAATGTCACACTAAGATTTGATCTAAGAAGACAGTACGAAGTCACAGTTAAGAGAAATGACTTGTGCCCGACCTTTTGAGCCTGTTTCCCCAAACAGCAAAATAGGAATTCTCTCTCATGTGTCAAACACTGAGTTATTTCTCATGCAAGAAGCA